ATATATATATATATATATATATATATATATATATTGGGAAAATAAAAAAAAAACTATTTGAGAAAAATGTACGATTCACAATAACTAAATGAAAAATAGTATGCTATAGAAGAAGTAATAACAATTGATAGGAAATATTAATTCGACAATTTAAATATTCCTGTTAATTTTTTCTTACCATAAAGTATCTCATCTTATTTAATAGACGACGATATTCCTGATCACGTATAATCGCGCATACGTTAAGATTTTCTTTGTGCTTTGACCTAAGTTTATTATTAAGTACAAGCTAAGTTCAAGGCCGGTGCTTAACACGTTGCGGATATTTCTTTACGGAGGCTCTTACTTCTGCGAGATCGTCGTACGCGTATGCAATTTTTCCTTACCTCTAGGGAAATTCAGAAGAAGTCCTCCGGAGACTCGGTCTCCAAATCAAGAAATCGGAGATTTCGTTGGTTGTTGACTTAAGGCTGCCGATCGATATTTTCTGTGATTTACGTTACATTGATTTCGAGCGTTTCATTGATTTCGTAAACGTCTGCCTTTACGCTTTAATGCGGAATGATGAAAGTGTCACTCTCCGTTTTCAAAATGATACACGATATACGATTCTGCTCCGTAATGCATAATACGTAATACGATTCTGTGCTAATGCGCGAGCATGATTCAACTCTCAGACAGCACTTCTCATCATTCCATCGCTGTGTCTGTCGCATAGTGGTCACGCATTATTCGGCATTTGGAAACCCCGTACGAGATGATGTTACATGCGTGCACGTGATTGTAGAATTATGTTACGTAGTAAGAATGCTCTCCTGTGTCGGGTGTAATTTTTTCATCGCGAGTTGCTGCAATCACGAGGCTTTTACTTTGCAATTACACTTCGCGCGCTCAGAGTCCTCTCATTTACCTCTGATTAATTTGAATCGCAGGATACCAGAACGCGAAATAATTGTAAATGTGTGCACGCGGTGTAATATATATATATATATGTTTACGTACATTCCTGTCGGTGTTTTTTTGCGTCTTAAATGTGGCTTTTCCGCAAAAGATGCGGCGCAATGTCTGATTTTTTTTTAATTTTTTTAACGTAAAGCGATGTGAGAGAGCTGCGTCACTTCTTCCGGACGTCGAACACAGCCATGCCGGCATTTCAGTGCCGTAGCGGTCAGAATAATTTCACAGCTGAAATATGAAAGAACAACATATACGTAGCGCGAACTCGAGCCTCGCCCGATGTGGCCGTATGACATTTTCTCTCTCCCTTTCTTTCTCCACGTGTTTCAAAGCGTCGAAACGTTCGAGTTGACGTAACTTCGCGATTTGGCGACCCAGAAGAGAAACCGAAAGAGAAAGAGAGAGAGGGAGAGAAAGCGTTGTTTCGCTCTCGACCAATGCTTTGCATATGTGCATGAACGACCATTTAATATCGCGCCTCGGCACTTCGGTGTTCACCGATGCATTAACTCAAAGCTATCTTTGTGTACCCGCTTGGGCAACCGCAGGTCCTCGTCGCATGAGCGAGCGGGATCTACCGTCGCGGCTTGGACACGACGTCACTCCTCAGCAAATCCACAGCAGCAAATCTGTGCCGGCGTTGCATAGTAAGTAGCACGAGCTTTGTGTATATGCGTGTGTACATATCCTCTGTGTGTGTGTGTGTGTAAGTTTGCGTTTGTAAGTTTGCGTTTGTATCTGCGCGCATATACGTATCGAGATCATCCTCAGCTACGTCGAATTCTAATCTCGAGCGCGGCCGATATCGCGCGATAATTAAGGGAGAGAACTTCCGATCACGCGATGTGATTTAACATGCGTGTTAACGTGTGTACGTTCGATTGGTTGTGCTGAAAAATTGGCTCTATTTAGACGTGGGCACCGAGGCCAAACAGCAGCATGAAGTGTTCAACCCCGGCTATAGCAGAGCCTCGTCCAGCAACAGCGTTACACCACCGGTTCAGCCGCCTCCCATGGCGACGATCAACAGCGCGACTTCCTTGCGCTCCAGGTAATCGTTGTCAACGCACTTTTCGATGTTTCAGCCCGTTGAAGTTATTTTTTACGTAGACTTTTGTCTTGGACTAGTGTTAATATTTGTTACTTGAAATTCGTTTCGGATGAGATACTCAGATTTGAATTCATAGTTGGATGTGGATTGGACATATCAGATTTAACTTGGAATAAAAATCCGAGTGTCTCACGTGAGACGAGTTTCAAATGACATCTATTACAACAAACTTCAGACTCCCATGATATTAAGTCAATGTTATTCCCCGTCGCGTACAGGTCGAGTCATAACTTACATGACCCCATGAGAATCGGGACTTTACCACCCACCGGCTTGGTTAGCAGGCAACAGTCGTCGCCCAACTTAAATCCGAACCCGGCACACACGAACGCACCGTTGAACGCGCAGAACCTGGAGGCGGAGAGGTTCTATCAGAACCTGAGCATTTACCGGAACCAAGACTCGACGGTGAAGCAACAGATCAGCCCGCAACAGTCGGACGACAGGTATAATCTATAAATACCAATAAAATGGAAACTTGCTTCAAATTTCTGCCCATCTTTGTTTTGTAAGATTCTGTTCCGCAATTTCCCGATCCTTTTTCTTGAAAGAACGTTTTGAAGTATTTTTCATATTCCTAAACACGTATTTTCGCAGGAACCCTCAACATCTTCAGAAGACCCTGCGGGGCTCGCAGAACTCGCTGAACCGCCCGTCCACATTGGACGTCGCCCACGTTCGAGACCGTCCGACCTCGGCGTACATCGCTCAGGGTCAACAGCAGGGCTACTCGACGATCAATAGCCCGATGCAGCAGCAGAGCGGAGGGCCGCCGCCGCGCTCGCAGTCGTCGCGCGACATGATTCGCCAGGAGGCGAAGCTGCAGGAGATGCAGGAGGAAGTACGGCGCCGAGAACTACGCGGGGGCGCGCCGGTGCTTAACCAGCAGCACCGGCCACCGGTGATGTACAACATCGGCGCACGGGGAGCGGCGTCTTCCCAGCAGTTGTCGAACGCGACCATGAACGTACGTTCGCCGAGACCACTCGGCTCCACGTCGAACTTGGGCGCCGCCTCCTCGTACGCGAGACAGAACGCGCCCAGTTACAATTACCCGGACGCCCAGTACTCGCAGTACAATAGCAGTACTCAGTACGGTCAGTACGGCCAATACAATCAGTACCCGAAGTACTCGACGGCCGGCGGTCAATATGGCCCGATGAAGTCGAAGAACGAGGGAGCGATGCGTGGCCACCAAACAATGCCGAATGAGAACCTACTCGGGAGAGATCCCAGCGGCCAGGACGCGAAGTCCTACATCGATCAGAGCCGACACTTCGCCGGCTCGCAGAACAGTCCGCATTATCCAAACGGCAACTTGGAGCAGCGCGTCGATCAGTACTCGAACGATAACGTCGTCGGCCGCCCGCAGAACGGAGAGGGCCACTCGATGACGACAACGGAAACACCGCCGACGAGACCGGCCCTGCCGGAGGAAAGCAGCTACAGCGAGAGCCCGCCGCCACCACCGCCCAACACCTCGACGCATCCTCTGTACAACAAGCAAGCTGACACGAGGTGCGTGTTTTTTACCATGCTATGGCAGTTGCAATATTTGAAAGTGAGAAGATTGTTTCGTCGGTAGTTGAGTATTAGAAAAAGATAGTCTTCAAAATCATCCTCTTTTAAAGTTCATTGTTTACTTTGAGATGGTGTGTATGGCAGTTCTGTAAGAGTTTCTTTCATTGCCACATTTTCTGTTTCAGCATATAAATATAAATAGAAAAAAAAATTGAAATTCAAAAAGCATGCACTGTATGATATGAAATTTGTTGAACGTTGTCATCAGAAACTAGTGTTCTTTATGACCTATTATATTTATATAAAAAGTTAATTTTTTTTCTCTTGTCTTTGAGTGATTATCGAATGAGTAGAAAAGCATTAACGAATCGGATTGAAAAATAACGAAGAAAAATTTCCCTCCCAGATACACTGCGAGCATGCAAGATCCGCCACGGGGTAGTTACTATCCTGCGGGAGGAATCGGCACTATGCAGCAACCGCGGCAGTATCAGTACAGTGCGACGAATCCTTGGCAACGAGAAGAGAGAGAGAAGGTAACGGCACTTAATAATTATTTATCGCACACCGGAGAACTTCAGCGTCAGGAATCGTTTTTCAACATATTTTTAGAAATTAAACACGGAAGAGAAACGTGGAACTTCTTAGATCCGCAAGTTAGCTTGATTCTGCTTTAGGATTAATTTATTAACTTGTCTGATGTTAATGGCATCTTCAGGAACAAGCACGCAGGAGAGAAGCCGCGAGACAATGGCGCGACCAGCAGATCTCCGAGCTGAGCGCCCTGGCGCATCGAACGCAGCAGCAGGAGGAGCAGCTGCGAGCGTTACAGTTGGAAAGGGACTTCCAGAAGCGCGCGGAGGAGGCTGCCAATCAGGACGACGACGAGGAGAGCAACGATCTGGACAACGAGAGCGCCCAGCGCGTCCAGGGCTTGCTGAGGATGGCGGTCAGCCAGGAGAGGATCGTCCAGGGAAACCAGCAGCAGCAGCAGCAGCCGCCGCAGCAGCCGCCGATCTTGTCCAGAACAAACACGGGCAACCAGTCGATGAGAGGTGGCCTTTCTCTGCAACCGATTAGTAGCCCGATGCAGCCCACTACTGGCAGCCACTCTCACACTCTGCCCAGTCAGGCGACGTCTCAGAATGTCGGGATGAGTGGCGCCGGTCAGGAGAACAGCGGCCTGCACGTGCCATCGAGTCAGCAGCAGCAAACACCGGGCCAAAGCAGCGAGGAGCAGCAGCAAATGCTCGTGTCGCCCAATTACGGCACACCTCTGAGCCACTTTGGCGGCGCCGGCCAGAAGCCCTACTCCGTCGGCATGTCGCACTCGTCGGAGGAACGTGAACTCCAACGGCGAATGGACGAGGTGAAGCGCAAGCAGGCCGAGTACGAGGAGAGCCAGAAGAAGCAGGAGGAGGAACTCAGGCAGCATCAGTTGCACTCGTCGCAGCAACAGACGTATCAGCAGCAGAGCCAGCATCAAAGGAACCAGCAACCGCTGCATCCCGGCATGCTACGTCTGGACAACTTGATCATCAACGGGCCCAACGTGCCAATGTGTGAGTAGATCGAACGTGAAATGGGGGAGAGGTTTGATGCCCTCAAGTCGTCTCCATTTTTGCAAAGGAGTTACGAAGACACGTTAGTTCTTCGTCTCTCTTACATCCTCATGTTTTACCGACGGACTTTCCGTTCTTTCGCTTCAGCCTCGCAGAACAGTATGAACGATGCGCCCCCGCCACCGGAACGAGGCTCCAGTTATGCTGTTATGTCACAGCAAAGTGCCCTCAGGTCGAACGGCTCGACCGCCTCTAATCTACCTCCATGTTCTCAGCAGCCGGCTTCTATGAAAAAGGTCTCTTTCCACGATTCGAATGCAAACAGCGAATCGATGCTGCGGAACGTGCCGTCCGGAACGTCGAATCCACCGTCGATAACGATGGACACCATCAGGGAGGATCCCAACGTGAGTCATTTCTTACGATTTCCTTTTCTCTTCCTTTACCCTTGTCTCGTCTACTTTGATTCACTCCTGTTCTTCGTCGTACGTTTCATTTCGGCACAATCCCTGCATTCGGCCGTATTAAAAACGTACAATTTGTTCTCGCGTTTCCTCTGTTTAATATCTGAGTTATGATGCAGTGTCCTTCTCGTTAATCTTTTTAAGGGAAATATATTATCATTTAATTAATTAAATAATTTCTTCACTTCTTTTTGTACGTGGTATGTAGTTCAATGAAATAGTTCAGAGAAACTGAGTGCAGTAGAGCCCCTCAAAAGAGCTTAACTTTCTCCTGCGTTGTCGAATATGAATGTAAATCTATTATAAATCTGAATGTATTCTGTCGAAATGCATACGATGGCAGACGAACAAGTAAGGTATTAATTTCAGAAGAGATCGTTGCTACATCACGCTGTTCCATTGCGATGTCTGCCTTTAACGATGCATGAACCGTCCAATTATAGTGATTATCGTCTAGCGATCATGTATCTCTCTCATCGTTCGTTCGTCGTGCTCATTATTAGGTGTATTATTCATATCTCATTCTGTGTGATCTACGTTTCACGTGCTGTGCGTGATCGACGCTAGTCTTTATGATCGTTGCTTTACACATACGTTATACCGATTGCTGCAAAAAGATTGGATATTTCTCTCAGAGCATCAAGTGTGATGTTTCATCGACGAGAATTTAATTTGAGGCCTCCTGATCGCGTCCCGCGTCTCTAATTATTGCTATTAGTCATTTTGCTTCCAAGATGCATAAAATATGAGAAAATATAATTAAAATATAATAATTAACATGTAATAATAATTATAATTATATAATTAGTTATACAAATATTAACAATTGATATATAATAATAATATAATTTGTCCCAAGCTTAACCTTTTAGGTACGACACGCCACTATAGTGGCTTTCGCGGATATCATCTTTCAGGACGACACGCCACTATAGTGGCTCACTCAAAAATTTTTTTTTTGAAATGATACAGCACTGCAATGTCTGACGGACAGTGCGTATCGTTTCAAAAAGAAAATTTTTTTTTTAAACTTTCTCTGCCGTCCAGGGAAATAGCCTCGCGCAGAATTCAGCTGTACCTAAAAGGTTAATTAATACAATAAATGAGTCTTCGATCTTTCGTGTTAGACAAATAATTCACTAGCCTGTCTCAGAATCGAATTCTCGCCGAGGTTCAATTGCATATAAATTACGCAAGATTTTATACACCGCTATTGGTATATTTTTTCTCCTTATTTTCTCAAGACATTTATATTATTATATTATTTAATACAATGTGAATTTGCATGTAATGTCCCATACGAATGTGTCCACAGAATTTTATCAACGACGCGGAGAATCTGTTAGCGTCTCCTAAAACGCCGGAAGGTTCCGGGACTGCGTTTTCGGGCGCCACTCCCGGGGTGATCGGAGCGCAGGAAGTGTATAAGTAAGTTCACTATATCCATTACGGAAGAGACTCAAAGGACGTGTTATTAGATTGGGGTAAATGGTATTTCTTTTTTCCGACAAATGCATTGAAACATTCGCTTTTCCAAGGGACCCGCGGCAAAAGCGGCTGGCGGAGAAGCAGAAGCAACAGCAGCAGAACTCACAGATCGGCGCGGTGCCGGAGAAGCTCAGTTTCAAGGAGAAGATGAAGATGTTCGCGATGGAGACCGGCGAGGACGGCACGCCGCGTGACAAGGTGAAGATCTCGCGCGCCCAACGCGAGATCGACAACATCAGCAGCCCTCTCAGTTCCAACAACAACAATAACACCAGCGGCAATAACAACAATAACAATAGGACCTAAAAACAACGTTACATTTTTCGCTTCCAGGCTTTAGTGGGTAGGAAGTGCCTGATAGTTCAAATGTATTTTCCGAAATATCTGGGATGCTTGGAGAAAAGTCACCGCGTCGCCGTGAGACGCTGTTGGTTGCACGAGAGGTCGAAAGAGAGCGAGTAGATTGAACCACGATATTAACTTTATCAAGGAAGTAGAAAGATTGAACTTGTGAAGAGTCGGTAAAGTTTCACTCGTTACTACAGTTTATAAAAATTAATTAAAAATACGAAAATATTTTGTATATTATTTATATTATATATATAAAGATAAGAATATATATTCAAGGGATTCAGAAATATTAACATATGGAACTACTGGAAGCCCGATTCGTTCTGCGGTTTGTTATGGTTGTATTGTGATTTTGCAGAGAAACTCAAGAACAAACAAAGACATTGAGATTTTTTTTTTTTAATTAGAGTATTAATTATTAATTCCTACAATTTTATTCTATATTCAAAAATATTTATTTAAATTCTATTGCGGTCAGAAGCACTTAAGTCTATGTTCTTGTTTTTTTGCTGCAACCATATGTTATTTTGTTTTTAATTTCTTAAATATATTTTTATCACTAATGTATAATTTAATCTTGATTTAATTCAATTTTAATTTATAGATTTAGTTAAATTAAAAATAGCCTACGAAAGGATTTCGTGTTTGATTAATTTCTATACCTGCAGCAACGAGTAAAGTTTCACCGATTTTGCGCAAGTTTACATTTTTCTATCCTCCTCAATTATCCTCCTAATATCACTGTTGCACTGCTAGAGTTTCTAGGGAACATGTATGATAGCAGTTAACAATGTGTCTTTAGAAAAAGACAGTCGCACGTAAAAAAAAATAATACTATTATTGTTAACAGAGTAAAAAGTTGAATTTCTCTAAACTTATGGGGACATAAACTTAGAGAAATATTTATATACTATATTCATACTCTCTCTAAAAGAACCTATATTCGTATTTTCGCTCTTCGCCGAAAGTTTGCATATGATGCTCGATTAATCTTAAACCTCTACTTAAGATTGACGAATTTCTGCCTTACTCTTTTTTCTGAGCACCGTAGATACTTCGCCGTGTGTTTCGTGCCGGACAAAGAGAGAGAGAGAGAGAGAGAGAGAGGGGGGGGAACATACAGAGAAATTATGTACACTGTAGTGTTATAGTCACACATGTCGACGAATTAATTAAATGCGCGGTATCCTCCGCGCTACGCGAAGGATATACTTCGTGTACTCTTTTGCGTTCAGAACGAATCCGGCGGTTACTCCATACACACATACACCAGCGTCGAAGTACAAACGAAATTTTATATAGCTCTTTGACCAAAAATGTCGTGTGTTCGGCGAAGGAGGACCATTAATTAAAGGTAACGATAACGTCGCGGGCGCGATGTTAGTCGCGGCGGGAAGAGGGGGAAGGGAAGTGTTCTCGTGCGCGACGCGTCCGTTATTCCTGACTATATATTTCCGGACCAACGTAATCTTATTAGAATATAACTGATAACGTACTGTCGAGAAGAGACTAGTAACACGGCGTAGGATAAAGCTCGCAAGGACTGATTTAAGCTCATCGACCGAGGCGGATCGTTTCGCGAATGTACATAAAGGGGTGGCAAAACAGTAGGCCGGGCAGCATTGATTATCGTACGCGTTAGTTTTATATTTATCATTCTCTCGGCATAGCGAAGAAGGTCCTGATATATATTTAAATTATACGATCGTACGGATTTACACACTTACGCCATTATGCACTTAACGAAGTACGACAAAGTAGCGAACGTAGTTAGAAAAATAGAAAGGAAAATAGAAAAAAGAGAAGGAGAAAACGTGTGTATGTGTGTGTGTGTGTGTAAGTAAGAGAGAGAAAAAGTGTGGATGGTAAAAGATTTATATTTATATAACGCGTTTTTAGAGAAAGAGATAGAAATAGACGGTTTTAGTTTAGTTTTTGAGGAACGAGACTCTTACGTAGAGCTGGAATGAGAGAGAGAGAGAGAGAGAGAGAGAGAGAGAGAGAGAGAGAGAGTGTGTGTGTGTGTGTGTATGTGTGTGCGTGCGTGTGTGCGTGTGTGCGTGTGTGTGTTCTATGAGAATTCAAATGAAAGCCACTTTGAGCTCCGACAAAAGCGCTCTGTTTCTCGTTCTCGTAGAACGAAGAGACTCTACTTTGACAGAGGGAGTAGAACGAATAGGCTGTTCCGCGGCAAAATACGATGTACGACGATTCAGCTAGGAGATTCGTTACGAGATTCCTATTTTGATGTATTTCCGACTGTCTATCCCAGACTTGGCATCGTGAAAGTTCCATAATCGCAAGCAAGAGATCTTACGCGACGAATTATCGATGTACTATTTCGAATTTAGATGTCGAGATAGCAAATTGCGTTCTCGCTACTCTTTCGACGATACAGGAGTCGTCCTTTCATTAGCGGTACTTAGAACTGAAGAAATTATTTTTACTCGTTAAGCTCGTCCATGTAAGAGACACTTTTCACACCGATGTACAGCGTGACTCACTTAAGATGTTTGTCGTGGTCCATTCATTATTTTTATATATATATACTTTTTTTTTATCGAGCTCGTAGCATATTATATGAAAATTAGGTTTTTTGCTTTAAAACCGATTAATCGGTATTACTTTTAAGAAACACCGGGATCAATATTTTGTTAAATATATTTTATGGGAGAGGAGGGTGAAACGAATAGGGGTGGACTTATTCGGTGGTGCTGCAAGATTTACAGTTGCAGCGATTGATATGATATGTATTATTTATCATGCGGGCGTTGTAGCACGATTACAATTGTGTGATAAATTTCGTGGGACGTTCGTTCGGTGTATTTGATAAATTAATTAATTCAGTGTACGTTATTCGGGTTTCGAAATATCTTCAGATACTGCAAATTTAGAGATTCGTCTTTCTCGCTTATTCTTACGTATGATTTATCCTCCCCCCCCCCCTGAGCGATCATCATTGTAATTCGCAATATGGCGGGACAACGGACGAAATTTTTATTTATCGCGTAATACGTATGTGTCATATATATATTCTGATTTTTAGTTATCCTCTGCGAGATACCGATGCTACAAGAAGCATATCGGTCTATGAATGCGAATTGTTCCGGCATTGCATAACGTTGCGCGCGATCGGTCGAGAATTGACATCTTAAGTGCCTCACTCTACACACACAAATCGTCATGTTATTGTAATTCTTTTGACGTCGAGTGATGATCGACGTAAAAATTCAGCTCGAGACACTTTTTCGCGTAATCCTAAGATTTTTAAGTTAATGTTAGACGCTCTCTCTCGAGGCCCGAGTATTCGCAGATGGCATGACGCGGTATTTCAGAAAGAAAGATAGACAGAGAGAGAGAGAGAGAGAGAGAGAGAGAGAGAGAGCTTAGTGATCTAACGTGAAGAACACACAAAGCATAGCAATATTAGAGTTTAAGGGACAATTACATCTACTAGTTACTGTACAAACGATCGTGGAGGGTGTCCATTGGCCGATCTCGCGCGATGGAAATTCGCCACGGAAAACTGACTGGCCCGGTTCTTAGGAAAACGAAGAAAGAAAGAAAAAAAAAGGAAATCAAGTATTCGCATTCCGCTCAGTGCTTCGTTGCATTAAAAAAAAATTTATTTCCACTTTATTTTTACTTTTTCCTTTTTAGTTATGCAACGTCATCGCATTCCTCGCCGTCCAGCCTGCGCGTTCCGCGTGTTACGATAAAACGACCAAGAGTCGTTAAAGAGGGGATATTTTTTTTTACGTTTCCGAAACACAGTATTCTTAAGTAACGAACTCTCTCAGTATGTATTTCGAGTATTATTTTTGATTAATTATTCGCGATTAATTATCCGTGGCTAATTGTTCGCGGTAGAACGAGTCGTCTTCGACGTTTCCACCCTCTTAAAGCTTATCACGAGTATAGTTCCGGCAGTGCACGGAATGCATCGATAATCGATTAAAGTGCTTCGGAAGAGAACGAGGAAGATCATTGTATCTATCGACTTTCGCGTATTCTTGCGTAATCTATGCGCTACGTTGGAGAAACGGAGGGCAGCGTTCGTTTAGCGTTCGTTCAGCGTGCGTTCACTCGTATTCACCTTCTCCGCGAACGGAGCGGATCGTGCTTACTTTCGTGTCGAGGGTATTCTATAGGGAACTTCATCACATATCAGCATTACATTACGACTGCTTACAAAGTATTATTCCATCCGTGATTCATTTTTTTTTTTGCAAGAATGAGCCGTCCGACGTTTCTCAGGCGAGCCTTTCCACTCCGATTTCCGAATGCGCCGATAATAATCCCGCGAGTCCTGATCCGCGGAGAAAGTTTCCAGAACCGCAACTTCGTCTTATTTATCCTTCTTTTTATTTTCTCCCTTCTTTTATATATGTGTATTACTTTCAACGTTCATGTGTGCTTCTGCCGACATCCGTTGTTCCGGCCTTTACCATTCCTCCACTCGGGAACGATTAGTGATAGTGCTAAAAGCAGCTTGTTAGCGCGCTATCGTGCGACGAATTTTGCTCGTGTGTCCACAACGAATTTCCGCTCTTACTATGTAATACGCTAATTGTACAATTAACGCGCGCGAGCGAGGTTCCATCGTCCGTAGTCTTAACTCTTTTATTCTTAATTAGCCATATGTAAACGCGCGCCGATCGAGGTGTGTGTGTGTGTGTGTGTGTGAATCGACTTTATCGATAGGGATTAATTATTTCCGGCGAAGGAGACGCTTAGTTTGGCAACTATAAACATATTCACGTCGAAGCAAAGCCTAAACTCGACGTTAATCAAATATTGTAGTAAACGAGAGGAAAAGAGAGGGAGGTCGAAGGAGAGAAGAAGAAAGAAAAAGAGATAGATAGAAAGAGAATGAGANAGAGAGAGAGAGAGAGAGAGAGAGAGAGAGAGAGAGAGAGAGAGAGAGAGGATAATTGATGACTCCCTGCTTGTTGTGTATAGCGAGCGTACATACTTGCACTATATTTTGTAAAACTGTTTTCATAATCTCGTAGCGATGGTGTCGGCCGATTGATGACTGATCGCCGAGAACAGCTCCACCGTCACGGATGTTATTAATATTACTATATTTTACTTATAAAATACCGATTGTAATTTCGCAAAATACGGTATATTTTTTAATTATTGTATCATGTAATGTTACTAGCGAAATACGATATTTGACGGAAAATATATGTCAGCTGTATTCAACGCTCAACGCCTTTTTCCTTCTCGTCCAGCATAAAGTCATGCACTTTGTTTACTTGAGGATGTATTGCAGAGACGCGTTGCAGAGAGCATGCCAGCGCTTCAGGATGAAGATCGAAGCAGTCGTCGAAGCAAAAGGGGGTTATATAGAGTAATTTTACTCTAAAAGATAACGATATTCTTTTGTGGTAAACGTCGAAAGACAGGAGGATACATAGAAACATCGCGCAGATTTCACAGGCCGACAAAATGAGACCGACTTTTTTACCCAGAAACCAGACTATACTTTCCCGAAGGTTTTCGGTGCGCTGAATTCAAATCTGGCCGCAGAATTGCACTATCACATCAGGATTTTGAGATATTCTAACCTAAAAGTGCAAAAAATGCCGTTTTTGCCCATTTTTGCGGTTATGTATGCAAGCCAGAGTAATTTTTCTCAAAAAAGTAAAAAAAAAGATATTAAAGTACAAGTCTTCCTCTTTCAAATGGCGTTGAGTTTGCTTAAATATCTTTTTGCTTCGCTGAGATATTACAATTTTAAGTTTACGAATTTTCAAATTTTCCTATATCTTGAAAATCATGAAAGTAACATAGCTATGTGTATCCGCAGCACTTTCTGTTCATGGATTCAACAAGGTTATTTTTATGTATTTTGACCCGCTGAATCCGAAATTCATAATTATGAATTTCCGGATGTTAGTGACGTTTCCCAGCCTTCCAATCTCGAATTTCGGATTCAGCGGGTCAAAATACATAAAAATAACCTTGTTGAATCCATGAACAGAAAGCTGCGGATACACATAGCTATGTTACTTTCATGATTTTCAAGATATAGGAAAATTTGAAAATTCGTAAACTTAAAATTGTAATATCTCAGCGAAGCAAAAAGATATTTAAGCAAACTCAACGCCATTTGAAAGAGGAAGACTTGTACTTTAATATCTTTTTTTTTACTTTTTTGAGAAAAATTACTCTGGCTTGCATACATAACCGCAAAAGTGGGCAAAAACGGCATTTTTTGCACTTTTATGTTAGAATATCTCAAAATCCTGATGTGATAGTGCAATTCTGCGGCCAGATTTGAATTCAGCGCACCGAAAACCTTCGGGAAAGTATAGTCTGGTTTCTGGGTAAAAATTTTGTCGACCTGTGTTTTCTACAAAGAGATAATTTTATTAACATTCATCATTATAAAACATGTTGGATTGCAATGCGATTTAATTCACTCTTTAAGGTTATGCCCTGCGTTTTAACAATGTCGAATACATTAACGTCGTTCTACTTTTAATTTTCGATGTGCTCCTTTACCTCTACGTCTACAGATCGATTGTTACAAGAGTCAATAATGAATTAAGCTTTTATTAGAGATTCAACATTACCAAAGCTAGCGACCAACATTACGTGATCTTCATCTGGCAGATCCGATACGATAATACTATATCATCAATAACGGGGTTAAAATCTATATTAAAATAGATTTATATATAATAAAACGAATAACAAGATTCCCGATTTCCTATAATTTTCTCGCAAATAGAGTCAAGCGTAATTAGTTTTATCATTATGTTTATGTATGTGTGCGTGTGTGTGAATCGTTGTTCTATATACTATACAAAGTATTTCATCTTCGACACATCGTACTTCGATAGAAGATCAATTAATTAAATTAATCTCGTCGTAGACACAATTGTTCGGATGCTCAACATTTTGATATTGAAAAGTATTCGAAAGCTCGGTCGGATTTTCCGCGTCGAAGTCGCGCCGATAGGAAATCGATCTCCGGATCGCCGTCCGGATATATCAGTCGCATTAAAATCAACGTATCTCTCTATATTCGCGTGTGTGTAAATGAAACAACGTCTCAGTATCGATTGTCAACAGGTGAGCTGTCGATTTTGCAGCACTGCTGCTATGTACACGCGTTTAATATTCCCCGTCGTTTTAACACCGTCCGCGGGATTCCCCTCAACGACAGTCAGCATGCGTTGAATAGGAAGATCAGAAGCGACCAACAACGAGTTTCGATCACTATCACTATCGTAATTTTCAGAAGATATCGCAATGATACCTCTACGTTTTATAGGCCTAATTACTTCTTCACTACTATTAGAATCATAACCCTTCATTTTTATCAAAATTTTTTGCCTTATCCCGAGAAATACTTTAATCCGTTTGCAATTATCACTCTTTACTAACTGCTTGCATATGTACTGTGGCTATGATGCACAAAACACTAGCGGGCATATCTGCGCTTCGGTGATAATGGCCAGGAAACTTCCAAGCATATATAAGCTTATAAAGCAAATGGATTATTAATGAAATAGGTTCAAATTCATGGTCAAACTTACAGAAAGGAACATGTATTGTAATTTGCATTATAGATCACTATTATGATTCATTAACCGTTTTTGATTTGATAAAATGTATTTTGCTAAATGAAAAGGGTCGAACTTGTTTAATTTATTCAGTTTTATCAACATCAGGTTTTGATTGAAATTTATATGCATATGTTGTGCAAAAGTCCGAACAAATTTCATGTGAACGATTTGTTTTATCGACCATACTTGTTTCTCCAGGATCTTGCGCAGCGTAAATGGTATCTTACTTTAACCCGTCAGTTCCTAATGCACCCCCCAGGTAGCACAATATTTTTAACTTATAAACCATCGAAATAACACTTCTAACTTATAACATAGCTCTAAGTGTTCAGTTTAGATACTAGTGACTCTAAAACAAGTTGTCAACACTGAATGAAAGCGATACATAAGCGAAAAATAACTTTCCAAAGTTTATTATTACCACTTTTCTGAAGCACTCAAAACCTATAAATTTGGTTTCCTTAGATTCCAAAACATGATATTTCCTAAGAGGAAACAGAAATTTGTGGTTTCAATTCATTTGGGAACTGACGGTTTAAGACATAAATTGTAATATTTCTGAGTGTATAATAGAAATATAATATTTCATAGCATATAAGAATTTTACAGTTTAACATTTTAACAATACCACCAAACAATCATTAATAACAAATCAACAAATTAACAAATTAGTATCTGAATGATGATTTCAAGCGACGATTTCAAGTTCATTATGTTAATAATAATAATTGGTTGAAAATTGCATTTTATTTCCAGGACTGCTCTAAACAGCTGTATTTTATCAATATAAAATGCAAATGCATTTTCAAATTTCTGTAAATGAATTATCATTACCGTACGGTTGTGGCACCCATGTTACGACTATATTTATTAAAGTTGGATTAACCATGTTGATTGCTTCCATAGAGCTATATGGTTTCTACAATCATATTGTATGTATGAGCGAAAAATAACATCAATATTTTGTCGTGACAATCATATTTAGCCAAGTGATATTCTTAGTGTTTTCTTCATGTTTACATAAATTTAAACTTTATTA